TCTTGGAAGCGATTTGGTGAGAACATCAACCAACTGATCATGAGAGGGAATATGAAGTACACGAAGAAGCCCACGCTACACACGTTGCCGCACAAAGTGAAAATCAATTGCAACATGTTTCATAGGAGAATGGAAGACAAGATTCGCCGAAGAAGTAGTAGCGCCTTTGTTATCACAAAGGAGAACCGGAGGAGAAGGAGGCGGATGTCGTAGCTCATGAAGAAGAGGCAACAGTAGATAGAGCCCAATACTCTGCTTCGGTGGAAGATTTGGCGATGGTCCGTTGTTTGGATGATTTCTAAGATATAAGTGAATCACCCAGAAAAATGACATAACCACTTGTAGAGGAGCGGTCGTCTGGATTCCCTGCCCAGTTTGCATCGGCATAAGCTTGTAAAGAAAGAGATGAGCTGCGATGAAGGTAGAGACCATGAGAAGCAGTGCCTTGAAGATAGCGCAAGAGGCACGAGCTGCCAATGGTTGACCGTGGGTTTGTGCATAAACTGAGCAAGTTTGTTGATGGCAAAGGCAGTGTCTGGTCGGGTGAGACTCAAGTATTGAAGTGATCCAATCACTTGACGATAGAGAGTCACATCACAAGAGCCCGAACTATCAAATAGAGTTAAAGAAGAAGAGGATGACAAGGGTGTGGATACAGGATTAGCTTCGTCCATTTTCAACACTTACAATAAATCTGTAATGTACTTGTGTTGATCCAGAAAGAGTCCAACGGTGTAGGTGTGACCTGCATGCCTAAGAAGTAATGTAAGGATCTTAAATCCTTAATAGAGAATTTTTGTGCTAGCAAGTCAATAGTCTGTCGAACCAATGCAGGTGTAGACCCAGTGACAATGATATCATCTAAATACACCAACACATAGATATTGGCGTGATGAGAAGAGAATATGAAAAGACAGGCATCAGAAATTGACTGATAAAACCCAAGGGATAGAAGAAATCCACTAAGAGATTGATACCACACTCGAGGTGCCTGTTTTAACCCATAGATAGATTTGCGTAGACGACATACTTCCCGAGAACCATCATTGAATCCAGGAGGTTATTTCATGTAAACTTCCTCTTGGAGATTCCCATGAAGAAATGCATTGTTGACATCCAGTTGATTGATTGGCCATCCATGGGAAAGGGCAATGGTCAGAACAACCCGAATAGTGACCCTTTTAATAACTGGGCTAAAAGTGTCAGAATAATCAACTCCCGCTGATGAAAACCCTTAGCCACCAACCGAGCTTTGGAACGATCCAGAGAACCATCTGGCTTGTATTTCAACGTGTATACCCATTTGCAACCAACAACATTCTGATCAGGGTGAGTAGGGACAAGTTCCCAAGTTCCTTGTTGAACCAATGCATCAAATTCTATAGACATAGCCTCTCGCCACTCGGGTACCTGTAAAGCCTTAGAAGCACAAGTAGGAATAATATGATGAGGTAAGGGTGGAGAGGGATTTGGATCATGATGTTGGTGTGAGGAGGATATGGGAACATCTGTAGTGGTGGTTGGGAAAGTGGTAATAGGTTCATTAGGAGATGGTGGAGGAGGGGAAGGAGCGGGTGGTTTTTGTTTTGGTCGGCGGTGATATGTGATGAGGGGCGGTGGATTGGGCGTGGGTGTTGTGGTAGTACCGGGAGATTCTTGTTGAGCTGGGATATGACTTACCGAGGACGTCTCTGCTACCGGTGTACCTGAAATAGGAAGGTAAGAAATGGGGGGTTGAAGCCAGTTATCAATCTCAGTGGATAGATTTGTAACCGGCGTCAACGTGTTAGAGAAGGGAAAGACAGACTCATCGAATACAACATGCCTACTAATAAAGATACGATTAGTAGTTGGATCAAGACAGCGGTAAGTACTTTGTTGATCACAATACCCAAGGAGAATACAAGGTGTAGATCGAGGCTCTAACTTATGAGCTGTGTAAGGACGCAACCGTGGAAAACAGCGACACACAAAAATAGCAAGTTTTGTATAATTAGGAGGTTTTTGAAAGAGTTTCTCATATGGGGTACAAAACTCTAAAGATGTCGCTGGTTGTCTATTAATGAGGTATAGAGTAGTAAGAAAGGCGTAGGACCAGTATTTAAGTGGCATGGAAGCGTGGTGAAGTAAAGTAATTCTTGTTTCTACAATATGACGATGTCGGCGTTCAACAAATCCATTATGCTCAGGGGTATAGGGAGGTGATAGTAAGTGAGAAATACCACATGAGCTAAGAAATTTCCCTAAAGTCACATATTCACCTCCCCCGTCAGAATAAACCATTTTAATAGTTCTTTGGAAAAAAAATTCTAAAAGTTTCTTGAATTGCTGAATTTGGGGTTACCCAAGACTTATGAGTGATGGTGTAAAACCAAATATATTTTGTATAATGGTCAACAAAAACAACATAATACCGAAATCCATCAACAGAACTAATGCGAGAAAGACCCCAAACATCTGTCTAAATTAAGTCAAGAGGGACAGAACTTGAAAGAAAATATTTAGCAAAGGGCAATTTATGACTTTTATTACTGGCACATGAAGTGCAAAGGGAAACATCCTTGTCAATATCTTTAAAAGAAATACCTAGTGAGGAAAATATCTTTTGAGTAATAGGAAGGGCGGGATGAACTAGACGACAATGCCATTTATTAAGAGAAATTTTTGTAGTAACATTGACACATGGAGATGATGGAACTGGTACATCTGGTAGGCTGTAGACGTCACCTTTATTCATATCTCGTAACAAAGTTGCTCCCGTTTTGCGGTCCTTAACAAGACAAAAGGTGTTAGGATTTAACAAACGCAATACGAAGAACGATAAGAAAGAACACACGAAATTTGGTAACCCAGTTCGCCACAAAGGACTACGTCTGGGGGCGCTACCAAGCCAGGATGTTACTATTAATTTCTGATAATGATTACAAGGAGAGAGCTTGTATTTATAGAGAGTAAAACCTAACCCCTAACAATAATAGGAAGCGCGCGGCCCATAGAGTAAAAGGACCCAAAAAAAATTGGGTTATACAGTCTCTAACACCTTACAAAAGGAAGGGTGAAACTCAATTAGTACATTATTGTCACGAAACAGTTTGGCAGCAGAAATTAAATTAGTATGAATAGAGGGAACATAAAGAGTATTAGGTGAGGAAAGAGAGTGAAGGTTCATATTTCCGACTTGTGCAATCGAAAGACCTTTACCGTTACCAATAATGAGAGAGTCTGTGCCGGTATAATCTGACGCCAGAGTGAGATTATTAAGATTATTGGTGACATGATTAGTGGCTCCGGAATCCAGTATCCATCCATTTTACTTGTCACGGCCGTATTGACTTGAGGGGGTAATTTTGTTGTTCAAATCGGTGCCAACAATTAATAGCCAAATGGTTTGGTTTGCCGCAAATTTGGCATATTATTGTAGCACTAGGATTAAAATTACCCCTGGAATTGGTGGTTCCTCCGAAATAATTATTTCCACGTCGATTTGAATTATAAAAGTTGTTGGGCCATTGATTCCGGTTCTGGTTCCTTGTATGATTTCTGTTTTGGGCATTGGACCTATTAGGCAGATTCTGGGATTGGTTTACTGGTGCTGAGCCTAATATGGAGTGGTCCATATAACTCTGGGTATTACTATTCACGAGACCAGGAGTCATGCGAGCGGCCAGAATGACGGCGTCACCTTCCTTCTCTTCTGTAATCGCCGTGTTCACAGTGACAATGGAAGGCGATTTCAGGAATTCTTTCCGACGGACAAGTAGAGTGTGAAGTTCTTCGAAGTCAATCTCTTTGATCGTACTGATAGAATCAGAAATTGATTCAAACTCTGGACGAAGACCCTCCAAGGCTTGATTGGTGAAGTCTTCGTCGTCCACCGGTCGTCTGGCCAAGGCAAGTTCATCTGTGAGGGTCCGAAGGTGGTGAAGATATTCTCCTATAGACTGAGACCCTTGCTGAGCATGGCGGAATTGGTCTTTTAGGCTCCGAACTTTGGTGGCTGGCCGGGTCCCATAGAGACACTCCAGCGTTTTCCAGACAGAGGTAGAGGTTCGTGCAGAACCAATTAAGGGCTTGCAAGCTGGACTGAGAGAAGATACGAGGGCATGGCGCAGCAGACGATCCTGTCTGTTCCATCGAAGATGGTGATCTGCGTCACTTTCTGGAGGAGGAGACACCTTTTCATCGATGTAGCAGTCCAGTTGGGAACCAAATAGGAGGTCCATCACCTGGTCTCTCCAAACCAGGTAGTTTGACCCATCTAATTTTTCTGGAAACTGACTAGGGTTAAGCATAATAAGTCCTTTGGGTGTTAGGGTGTTGTTGGTTGCGGCAGGAGGGGGATTGGTAGGAGAGGGATTGGTAGGAGGGAGATTGGTATAATTTTTTCTCTTATGATGATTAAGAAATACAATACCCATCAATCTTGTATCGTTTAATCCTAGTAGAACAATTACCCATCACCCTCAACCTCTCTGAGTCTCGGGATCACATTTTTATCTTTTTCTTTTATTTTTATCTTACATAATATGGTCTTTTTATGTTAATTTGAAACTAGTTTATCTTATTTGCTTAATGTCTTTATTCATTTATTACTTGATGTATTAAATAATGTAAAAATGCATGTATATATTTGATCATCATGAGTTCGAGCAAGATTGGACCATTGAACCTTGAGCTGGTGCCTTCACCGGTTTGACCGATTCAATTTTAAAATAAACCATTAGCATTCCCTTACCCTCTCTCTAGTCAGATCAGGAGAAACCCTTAACTGACATCACACACAATAATCGGTTCAGCTTATGTGGATATCACAAGCTGAATAGTCATTAAATATAATTAATTAATTACATCATAACGTACTCCAAGATCATACCAGTTTTAAAAAAAAATTGAATTAACAAGCCAGAACAGTGATGAAATGATTGCTTAAAAGATACTTTATTTGGTATCCATGCATGGAGACAAGACTTAAATCGAAAAGGAAGCTTAAAATTACTTACACTGGGACCATTATGCACTTTGTTGTTAATGGTTGGCTTGTTGTGCTTTTGAGTTGCAACACCATTTGTTGTTTGTTCAAGATCAGGATAAGATGCTGCAGAAAACCTCCAAAAAGGAGCTGTCTCGCCCATCTTTTCACGTCTCAAGGCAATCTGTATTTGCAATGGTAGAGGAACAACACATGTCTTCCACAATCATCATCAAGTCACTTTAAGATGACAATTTCACAATTGACTTAGAGAACGTCTAGGAAGGAATATATTGGCGGTTCGGTAGCCATTTTTTCGGCATATCTGGCACATTTCTTAGCAAATACAAGTACTGATTTATTTAATTACAGGCACAGAATTAGTCCATCATGAAAAAGTAAGGATATAGGTGCATTTTTTGCTAAATCTGATCATTAGTCTTATTCATGTATTTTCTTATTTTATGAATGAAGTGTATCTTTTTAATAATTCATCAAATTATGCGACTTCTTGCAAATTCATCCTTACCAAACGGGCTCTTATCAAGTTTTCCTTAACAAAAATCATCTACCATCTGGTCAATCTCCGATATTTGAAAAGCTTAATTGGATGTGCAGTACTGACAGTATTATCACCGATCTTGGAGCAATTTACTAAAGGTAAATTTTGTTATGAGCATGCCACAAATGCCTAGGTGTATTCCGTACCATATATGTACAGACTTGGCCACATGAAAGTTAGAAAATGAACCTTTCCCGTTCTAGCAAGCTCCTTAATTCCAAACTTATTTATATTTCTTAAGACAGCAGCCATCTTTCCTGGGTCACCAGTTACCTGTGTCAATACGACAAGAAGTCAAGAATGAATCATTACATATTTAAAGCAACACAAATATGTCATATTTTGTAAGGAAATATCCAAGAAAGAGAGCTTTTAAGTAGTATGAAGCTTGCAAGTATTTTTCATAGTTAACAGGTATTTACTATTTAAGCAAGATTTTTTCCTAGGTAATCTTAATTATCCTTGAAACTGACAAGATCAAATTCCTAATGGAAACAACAAATGGAATATACACGGAACCACAACAAACAACAAACATTGCATTTTATTAACAATCAGGATTTTAGGTATGGTCCAATCAAAATATCACATAAGATCAAAGATAGCAGGTTGCATGTAGACATATAGTTAATACATCCATACAAATGACTGCCGTGTAGCTACTTTAAATTGGTCAGTTTAGTGAAAGCAAATCCAGCCGTCATTAATACTACAACAACAACAACATCCAAGCCTTAGTCCCAAAAGATATTGGGGTCGGCTAACATGAATCGATACATGATAACACCACCAAAAGGAAAAGAAAGAAAATAAAGATAAAAAATAAGCTTTTATAGAAAAGATAATATAAAACGGGATGAATATACTTAAAAATGATAAAATAAAAAGGATAAAAATAATGTTTATATATAAGGATTAAAGAATAAAAAACAAGAAGAAAAAAAGATGAGGGGAAATAATAATAATAATAATAATACGAGATCACTCCTCCACATGAATGCCCGCCCTCCACTTTGCTCTCTCCAAAGCCATACCCTCATCCAACCCAAGAAGAAGCATATTACTTCGGACTGCCCTAACCCACGTCTGTTTGGGTCTTCCTCTCCCTCTCTTCCCTGCCTCTTCTCCACACATCTCAACACGTCTGACAGGTGCATCATTCGGTCTTCTACGCAAATGACCAAACCACCGTAGGCGAGACTCCCACATCTTGTCTTCAATAGGTGCTACTCCCACCCTTTGTCAGATTGTCTCATTTCTCAAGTGGTCCTTTCTAGTATGCCCACACATCCAACGCAACATGCGCATCTCTGCCACACTCATCTTTTGGATGTAACATTGTTTCACCACCCAACACTTTACGCCATACAGCAATGCAGGCCTAATTGATGTCCTATAAAATTTACCATTCAGTCTGGTCGGCATACCTCTATCACATAGAAATCCTGACGCATTCTTCCACTTCATCCACCCTGTTCTGATTCTATGGGATACATCTCCATCTAGCTCACCGTCTTTCTGAATTATGGAGCCCAAGTAACGGAACATATCACTGACCGGTATCTCCTTACCATCTAGAGTAATTCCACTATTACCATTGCTTCTACCTCCACCAAACTTGCACTCCATGTACTCTGTCTTGCTCTGACTTAGTCTGAAACCCTTGTTCTCCAAAGTTTGTCGCCATACTTCCAACTTTGCTTTAAGACCTGATTGCGTCTCATCAATCAATACAATATCATCAGCAAACATCATGCTTCACAGTATTTCGTCTTGAATTGACTTCGTAAGTTCATCCATGACTGGCAAATAAGAAAGGGCTCAGAGCCGATCCTTAGTGCACTCCGATAGTAATAGGGAACTCCGCAGTCCGCCCTACATTAGTACGAACACTTGTAGTACAATCCTCATACATATCCATGATGATGCTGATATACTTGCGTGATATGCCTTTTCTAGTTAAGGCCCACCAAAGAACTTCTCGAGGTACCCTATCACAAGCCTTTTCTAAGTCAATGAATACCAAATGCAGATCCTTGTGACCGTCTCTATACTTCTCCATAAGCTGCCGAAGAAGGTGAATGGCCTTAGTTGTTGAGCGATCAGGCATAAAAGCGAATTGATTCTCTGAAATCTTCACAGTTCTTCGAAGTCTTTGTTCAATCACTCGCTCCCAAAGTTTCATGGTGTGACTCATAAGCTTAATCCCTCGATAGTTGGCACATTCTTGTACATCACCTTTATTCTTGAATAAGGGGATAAGAGTACTCTTCCTCCAACTCGTTGGCATCTTGTTGTTTCTCCAAATCATGTTGAAGAAACTTGTTAACCACTCGACGCCTCTCTCTCCCAAACTTCTCCAAGCCTCGATCGGTATGCCATCTGGTCCCACTGCTTTCTTCCGTCCCATCTTCCTCAAAGCCTCCTTAACTTCCGTTGTTTGGATTCTTCTCACAAAATCACGATTTACCATACAATCTGGTATGGTCAAATCACCGATATCTTGCGCTTTGTTCCCGTTGAAAAGTGTATCAAAGTAAGACGTCCACCTCTCTTTTATCTCCCTGTCCTCCACCAGCAGTCATTAATGTATTCTCTAAATAAATCAAGTCAACTCCAATCAGATCTGCTTTCATAATATTCCTATCATGCAAATGGCAGTCTTGGCATTTACAATGATATGAACTTTTGAATTACAATGATAAATAAAACCATACAAGATTCAATTAACATAAAGTCTATTTTGCTATTGGATGCTCATTACTTTGTAATGTATGAGTACATTAAAATGTGATGAATATGTATATATGTACTGCAATTAAAATATCATATGAATCAATAGTTAAGAATGAAAAGAGTAAGACTAAGTGGTTCTAAATTACATAAATAACATGGAAATGCAAGAAAGGAAACACCTCTATGGTCACAAAGTGCTCTGATATATCCACCACTTTCGCTCGAAAGATATCTGCCAACCACATGATCTGAACATAAAAATCAAACATGACAAATCATATATTAGACTCGTAAGAGATTAATACTACTGATATGGAATGACAGGGGAAAGCCTTCTCATTGTTTAAAAAGCTTTTAACTTCTGGCTCTCATTTAAACTAACTTTTATTAAAATGGAATATTAAAAAGATGAATAAAACTCAGGCAACAGATCACAGAATAACAGATGTATCTTGTGCCTGCAATTTCCATTGTCTTATTATTGGCCCTTAATTAATTATTTCTTTCATTTAAGAGTGGAGGTTTCCACCATAATGATCCAATAAAAAGGATGGAGGATATGTGTAAACAATCATTTATTTTCTTCACATTTAAGTCCATTAAATTTTAGAAGAAGGACTAATTATATGACAGGAAAAAAAAGTCGTTATATACTTCTGCTTTTGTGCTCAGCTCTGCATTTAGCTTAATGAGCATCAATTCTCGTTCTACTTGAGGCTCCCTAGATAGATCGTCCACCTACAAAAAAAAGAATGCAGAAAAAAATAATTGGGTACAATGGAGCAAAACTGGGGTATTAGGGCGATAGACAAAAACATAAGTTTGTAGTAAACAAATAAGCATTCAGGTTTCAATGATTGAACACTAAAAACGGGCAGCCCAGTGCACATTGGCGTCCCCACAAGGCAAGGGTCCGGAGAAGGGTCCCACGGTCTCACCACAAGGGTGTATAAGGGGCAAGCCTTCCCTTGTCATTTTGACAAGAAGCCGCTCCCAAGACTTGAACCCGTGACCTCTCAGTCACACAGCAACACCGTAACCGGTGCGCCATGGCTCCCCTTCAATGATTGAACACCAATAATATAACATATTGTATGTACAGACACTTGATCAGAATAAGTAGCACTTACGGGAAACCGAGATATTCATAAGACCAATCTAGAAAAAATAAATCCCTTTGTCATGCTTGCAATGGAAACAGTTCAAAACTTAACTAGTTATCACTTGGCAGTAACAGCAAAACTGCCTTTATAAGAGGACAAAAACACACAAAACTTCATATGCTAAGGGGAAAACTAAACAGCTGCCTAGCTAACTATGAACGTGATGCATAGACTGATCTGAAATTGGTGTTCATCCCCTAGACTCACATTTACTTTATCATTAACGAAGTTGTGGAAAAAATCCAGATCAAGGAGTCAAACTTGCATCTGATATTCATGACAATATTTGGTCTTCTAGCGGGTGATGTTAGAGAAACGGGAGCTAATTTTATTCATATTAGCTTTTCTCATATTAGGCGATCTGCGAATCGCGTTGCTCGTGAGTTAGCTAGAGTAGCCGGATCTTTGTGTGATTGCCGGGCTTGGTTTCATTCTCCTCCTTCATGTATCTCTCATTTATTGGACTTCAATTTGAGTAATACATAGTTTATTTTTATTCAAAAAAAAATCCATAGATTGCAAACTGGAAAATCAAAACCCACAATCTAAAAGTTGAAGGTTAATGCAAGCATGCAATGTACATGGTTGCCTTCACATCTGAGTAGGCTTCAAACCCATAACCTTCAATTTCACATTCAACTGATTGGTGGTAAGTTATTATTGTATTCCATCATTCAAATATATTTATAACTACATACACACAGTATTTCATATTTGTGACAAACACTATAAGAATGTACATATATTTTAAGGCATGTTATGGAGTTCGGATTCCCTTTACATTGACCCACTGACACAGTTCAATTAGTGACCAACCGATTTGACCATTGATCAAGTCAACAACCGGTCCGAGTTTTACAAACTGGTTATATGTCTACTATGCAGCATCTTATGCTTGAATCTGCGAGTTTGATATAAGTTCCACACCATGTGAGCTCCAGAGTTTAGTGGCTATGACTTACACGACAAGTCGACAACCATTATGGAACTCATAAGTGGGAAATGGGAATGAAACAACAGTCGATAGTAGAAGTGTAGGAAACAAATAACCTTAATGACATTCACAAGCTTGTTAAGTTGCTCTACAACTTGTTGCAAAACCTTGTCAGTTCCAGAGACAACAATGGTAAAAAGAGCCTTATCTGTGTTCAACCCTACAGCAAGAGACTCAATGTTGTAGCCTCTCCGGGCAAAAACTCCAGCTATTCTGTTAATTATACCACTTTCATCCCCAACGAACACTGAAATTGTATGACGCTTTGATCTGAGATAAAGTAAGTTAGAATTTTCGCCATATATATAAATACATATATGAACACATATGCCATCTCAATCTAGAGAAAGTGGGCATCTTTTCTAGATTATCACATTATGAGAACAGCTCTAAAATACTCCAAAATGAAAATATAATTTCCTACATAAAAAGGGTATAGATACTTTTTCAATATTTCTAGTCCAGAGATAATACAATAGCCCCCCCTCCCCTAGTAACTTCGACCCAATACAGCACAACTAAGAGCCCGAGTCATTTGGCTTAAACGGCTAAAACTTTTGAACTTGCTGAGAGGAAAAGCTCTGGGTAACATCCATTTCAAGCAAAAAAAAAAAAGGGGGGGGGGGGGGGGGGGGGGGGTACAAAGCTACTTCATGCTTAAGACGCTTATACTCATTATAAAGAGCATGATCCCATTAAGACTACCAAATGGAATGTATGAAAATAGTTGGGAATAAAATAAAAAGTAACATTAGGACACAACTTGGGAACTGGTAGATTTAACAGAAGCTTGGGTAAGTTTACAAATTACAAGAAATTGAGAGAAGCAGGTGATTCCTTCCGATTTCAGCTGATTGCATATATAGAACAGTTTACCGAGAGACAGCAGCTGGTGGGGGGGCAATGGAGACAAGTGCATTGGTGGCATCATGTCCGCTGGAACATGCAACAAATGGCGCCAAACGTGTTGAATTTGGTCGGAATCCCCGCATTGGCACTGCTCGGGTGAGCGGAGGTGCAGGCAGAAGGCGGCTCTTCCCCACGGCTGGATAGAGAGACACCGCCACCGCGACCATAGTGGCTGCTCCTAGCTTAGCAAGTAGGTATGGCGGCGGAAGTCCAAAACGTGGAACACATAAAAAATCAGAACAATGTGATTAAATTAAAAAGGACAATCCGGTAGAAACAAGAGTTGGAGCAGAAGGGGTTGACACGCGTCACTGTTTTTCTGTAGTTGCTCAAGCCTCCGTACTAATAATAATTACCCACAAGTACTCCCTAATAATTCATAATAATAAAAAATCATAAAGTCGGTAAGAATTCAGTCGGGCGGCCAGCTTCTTATATCGCGGAATAGTGCAAGTGTGGGTAGGGTTCACAATCAAAATGAAAATAGTGCAAAAAAACCATTTGGAGTGGTGTGAGAGTTTAAATGTAAAAAATTTATTTCGTCCATATGAAAATAGTATTTTGACTCATATTCATTTTAGCACCGTCAATAAAATACATTCTACACATTTTTTACATATCAATTTAGTAAAAACATTAATTAAATTATTATAAGTAATGTTTTCGTTTTAATTTTTTCTCTGATAAATTATAAATAAATAAAAACACATTTCGATGTAAAAAAAAATATTCATTAATATTTTTTACGTTTTTCGGTGAAATGTTCAAACACATTGGAGCATTGGATTCTCTTCTCAACGTGTGTGCCTATCTATAACACATTAGTTGAGTAATTATATTTCTCAACTTAGAACCCCCTATAATTAGCCCCTTGGGGTCTATTTATAGGTAAAAATGTGGATTTGGGCTCCTAGCCTTGGGCTTAGGAGGTCCATTACAATAATCATGCCTTCTTTGGGCGAAATAAAGCCACTAATGGGCTGTGTACAATACTTTAGAAAATACAGTAAAAAATACATTCTGCCTGGACGAAGTCCGGACGATGCGGTCCATGGACAATGCGGATCCTGGGTTTTGCCCAAGGATCTAGTCGATATCTTCTTTCTTGGACGTTGCGCGCCTTTGGCCGATGCGGGTGTCCTGCTGGTGTCTTTTTGGGCCGTTGAGTATGTGGACCATGGGGTCCAGGCCCATATACTCTATCACATTGGATTCCTTTTTCTGTGGAAAATAATATCAGGCTTACCTGTAATGGTAGCCCTGGCAGATATATTTATAATAGAAAGAGTTCAATATTACAATATGAGTCCCACAATAATTAATAATGATAAATCTACTCTATTACACCCCCTCAAACTGTGCAGAGGAAACAATGCGCAGATTGTCACGAAGAAGAGTAAAACGTTGTGGCGACAAACACTTAGTAAAAATATTTGTCAGCAGGTAATTGAAAGTTATCACCAGGATGATTACATTTTGAATGTGGATGCAAGTTTCTCACCTGACAAAGCTACCGGAGGTGCGATCTTATGGGACAGGAAGGGCGACTTCATTATGGCTCTTAGCTTCCCAATCGTAGCTCAGACTTCTCTTGATGCTGAGCTCCGAGCTATCTTCTTTGCAGTTCGATGGATGGTGGAGGCCGGTTTCAGTGGATTCAAGGTCGAGACAGATGCGTTGCTAGCTTTGAGATGTTTGGAAAGGAATGAGAGAAGAAGATGGATGGTTGAGCTTCAGGAAACCGTACAGCTCCGAATTAGGCAAGAGATTACTTTTGGGCATATTAATCATGAAGCCAATTGGGCCGCACACCACTTGGCCCAAGTCCGGACTGATACTCTTATCAGTTATAATCGGCCCAATATGCTTCCTATTTTTGCTAAAAGAGCTTTTTGGATGGATTTTTTTGGTATTCCTTCATTTAGAATTTAATTTCAATTTTGCTACTTCAGGTTTGGTGTGGTCCCCCTGAAATTTGTATGTCTAGTTATTTAATAAAATCTAGCAAATGTCCCCCGGCATTTGCCCCACTGATTTTGGTGGTTGACCTTACGGGAAAAAAAAATGCAAGAAGACCCTAATTCCCATCCAGATTTTGAGGTCATAGATGGAATTGTGAGGCATTTGGGAAGGGTAACTGTAGGGGGATCAACAACTCTAAGACACACTATTTTTTTGGAGTTACATTCCTCAGCTGTAGGAGAGCATTCTGGGGTTCAAGGCACTCTTATGAGGATAAAGAAAGCTTTCTTTTGGCCTAAAATGAAGGAGAATGTCACTCTGTGGATCAAGAAATGTGAAACTTGTGTTAGGGTTAAACCTGACGGAAGGCCTTATCCTGGTCTGCTACAGCCTTTACCCATACCGGAGCAGGTTTGGAGTCATGTTAGTATGGATTTTATTGAGGGGTTGTCTAAGTCACATGGAAAAAATGTCATCCTAGTGGTTGTGGACAGGTTGACCAAATTTGGACATTTTATTCCACTATCACACCCCTATACTGCAGCTACAGTGGCTAAGGCATTCTTGGATAATATATTTAAACTGCATGGTCAACCCCTAGACATTTTAACTGACAGGGATGTGGTATTCTTGAGTGGATTTTGGAGGGAATTATTCAAACTTATGGGAACTAGTTTGAGCTACACTTCTTCCTATCATCCCTAGACTGATGGGCAGACTGAGAGGTTGAATCAATGCCTTGAAGCTTATTTGAGGGCAATGGTTCACCAAAACCCTAGGCAATGGTTTAACTGGATAACTATGGCAGAGTATTGGTACAACACCAATTATCATACCAACCTCAAAACCACCCCTTTTGAGGCCCTATATGGTTACTCTCCACCAACTCTGTCATTACCCACTCCATCCGCCATGACTAACATTGAAGTTAAGGACCTCCTAAAACAAAGGCAAAGGGTACAACAACAGTTAAAGGAAAACCTTAAATTGGCTCGGGAAAGGATGAAGAATTATGCTGATAAGCATAGGGTCGATAGGGAATTTAAGGTGCGGGATAGGGTGTATTTGAAATTACAACCTTATAGACAAAGATCCGTACATCACGGACGAAACCAAAAGCTGGCAGCTCGCTATTATGGACCTTATACAGTTCTTGAACGAATTGGTAAGGTTGCTTACCGATTTGATTTACCCGAAGAAGCAAGAATCCATCCGGTCTTCCATGTTTCCTTACTGAAGAGTTGCGTGAGTTCCCGAACTATCGTGTCCAATGACCTTCCTACAGTGGGCGAAGATGGAGTCTTCAACTCAGTGAGCACAACACAGGTACAGGGTATCCTTGGGGACAAGGACCTTAAAGAAGGGAGGGGTAATGTCATGAATGGGAAGTAATTTAAACAAGTGGAGCGGCAAACGTTTGAAGGTCGCAGGGTTGGTCTTATTAATATGGGCTGGTTTATTACCTGTTGGGCTATTTTACCTTATGTAATAAATTAACCCATTTATGGGCTTTTGGCTGGAAACATACTTATTGTAATCTGAAGTATGAAATATGCAGAAAAGTATTATCCTAAAATTCTACCTCTCTCTACTCTCTTCCTCACCTCTGACATTCTGTTTCTTCCCTAACTAACATCTACAACACGCGAATACCATTACATAACCTCTCCCACGGTGCTGCTGCCCGCCATGTGGAGGTGGCTGCCCAGCAGCCGGTGCTTGCCCCGCAGCCTGTGCTTGCACCCCAAAAGCCTGAGCCGGGGAAGGTTCTTCCAGAGCACGCATGTACTGAATTGTTTTCTCCTTTTCAATTAATCAAGTGCGTAATTTTTCAAAAGTGAAGCTCTCCGGAAATAAACCAACCGAAGTAATAAACGACTCATAGTCACGGCCCAACCCCATTAAAATAGTTTTAAACAGTTCACGAGGCGCAATGGGATCATTAATGGAGGCAAGATTATCAACAATGTCTTTAATGTCCCTCAGATAATGCCCCATAGACTGAGTAGGACCCTTCATAGTGTGAGACAACTGCTGTTTTAATTCCATTGACTGAGCAAGACTAGCAGACATAAAGTGAGATTCTAACCGACTCCAAATAGCAGCAGCATTCTTTAAATCACGCACCTCAAATAAAACATCGCGAGACAGAGTGGCAAATAGCCATGAGCGCACCGTTTGATCAAGTTTCAGCCAATTACAATAATCAGGATTGATTGTCTCACGGTGAAAAGTATCAAAAACATAGGCGGGAGGAGCAGGAATCGAACCATCTAAAATTCCCAAAAAACTATTGGACATCAGAAAGGACTCAAATTGAGTACGCCAAGACAAATAATCTTCTACCACAGCCAGTTTGGTTGTCACAATATTGGTAATATTTAGGGCAGAAAAAAGCCAATGTTCTTAACTAAATCAGATAACAAGGAACCTGTACTGGTAGCAGTAGGTCTGGGAGAAATCGGACCTGGAGTAACTGTTGGCATAATCCCGGGTGCCCCAGCAAACGTTGGACCAACAAAGTTAGATGCAGAAGCAGTAGATGATGAGGGGCTCCATCCAAGAGAAAGCACTGGAGGGCGGACAACAGGGGAGGTCGGAGTCCATGTGAATATGGGTGGAGTCCAGGCGCTGAAATCCGCCGTATGTGGCGGCGGCATCCATGGCTGAGAGAAGGCCGATGGTGCCGAGAACAGAGAGCTGTCGAGGGAGGAATCCACCTGCAACGGAGAAGAGAGACCGAACACTGGTGCAGCAGACGACTCAGCCGATGACATCGTCGGAGTTGTGGAGGAGGAGAGAGATGTTGTCATCATCTGAGCCGCATCAGAAGAAGAAGGCGTTGAAGAAGCAGATGGCGCAGACGTGATAGGCGCAGAAGAGGAAGACATCGCAGCCGAGGAAAAGGGAAAAAAAATTAGGGATTTTTAGATGTGGCTCTTGATACCATGTGGAAAATAATATCAGGCTTACTTGTAATGGTAGCTCTGGCAGATATAGTTATAATAGAAAGAGTTCAATATTACAATATGAGTCCCACAATAATTAATAATGATAAATCTACCCTATTATTTTCAACTTGTTGTGTCTATTCATATCACATTGGATTCTCTTTTCCATTATGTGTGTCATTTCATAGCACATTATATGACATTGTATTCTTTTTTCCACTATGTGTGTCCTTTCATAGCACATTGGATGATATTCTCCATGTAACACCGTCCCCAAGTATATTTACTTTTATGTAAATTATGTATTGAACCTTATGAAATGGTCAGTGAATTTACGGGGTTCAAAATTTTTGTTAATTCTTTTGCGTGAATAGTAAATTGCACGTGGGGCCCACACCAGGAGCGGGGACCGCCCGATATTCCCGAGACCACATATTTTATTCATCTTGATATAGATAATAAGTTATATGGTGGTGGACATTCATGTTGGGCTATAAGAAAGGCATTGGGTTGACCAATTGGTCAAACGAGGCCCAATTACCA